CTTTTTTCTTTCTTTATGTGGCAAGAACTATTAATATTTGCATAATACTGTATCACCATGTGGTGAAGATTATTCTCTGTGATAATGAAAAGAACGAAAAATAAAAAGCTGTTAGCGCAATCCCTTGTGGGATTAAAAATGTGAGACACGATGGACCTATTGTTTCTAATTATATAGAAATCCTTTTGTTCCATTTCGTTGCCACACATTTCTAGCTATCCGTTTATCTGATGTTTTACAACTATAGTTTCTCTGTCACGGTCTGTGATGGGTATGGGGATTCCTGTCACGGTCTGTGATGGGTACCCTGGTTCTCTGTCACGGCCTGTGATGGGTACCCTGGTTCTCTGTCACGGTCTGTGATTGGTACCCTGGTTCTCTATCACGGTCTGTGATAGGTACTGGGGTTCTCTGTCACGATCTGTGATTGGTATAGGGATTCTCTGTCACGGTCTGTGATTGGTACCCTGGTTCTCTAGCACGGTCTGTGATGGGTACTGGGGTTCTCTGTCACAGTCTGTGGGGGAGGGGAGGGGGGAGTGGGTCCAAAATTTCTACCCTATACACTTCAACACTCCTTTCAGATCGTGTTTCACAAAAAGCAGAGTAGTGATGACTTGATTTATATTTAGAAAAGTCAAAGATAATAAATATGCGAATATTAATGAAAAAGATGCTTTAATACTTTGTTTCTATAAAAAAAGTTACAAGTTTAATAATAGCATACCAAACATTGCCTTGCTAGTCTTAAAAAACTCGCATCACCATTAGTTTTTTAGTAAGATAAAATACAATCGCTAATAATTTCTTTCTGTATCTTTCAAGGTGGAAGACGAATAAGGTCTATATAACCAACATACGGCTTGTTTCTTTCATTTGTGGTGTATATTTGATGAATATAGTTTCGTGGATATATATCAGCATCATACGAATGATAATTTGTCGATCGCTAAACAGAATTATTTAAACAACTGAGCCATTGACTCCTTTAGGAAATAGTGTATTGTGTGATGATAAAACTCTCTGGATTCTCAATATTCACATAGTAGTCGGAATATCTATTATTTTTCATAAATGATCATGGTATATTTTGGGTGTGTGGGTGTGGGCGTGTGTAGCTGTGGGTGTGATTGGGTGGGTGTGGGTGTGGCTGTAGGAATGGATGTGTATGAAAGAAGACCCACACCCACACCCACACCCACACCCACACACCCACGCCCACCCACACCCACACCACCCACACCCACACCACCCACACCCACACCACCCACACCCACCCACACCCACACCCACACCCCACCCACACCCACACACCCTCGATGTTTATTAGGTATGATAATTTGTGTGTGAAAACTTTGAAACATTGATTTCGATATTAATGAAAGTTTGATGTTTATCGGTAGGCTTGAATTTATAAGACGACTTCGAAATCGTATATTAAGGATAGAAAAAATTTGATACACTTGAAAAAAATCCAGGAAATCGAATTATTTCATAAATAACTTCATTGGAAAGATATTCAAAACGAGTGATAGAATCTCTAGATGAAATAAACAAAAAAATAGTTAAACTTTCAAAGAGAAAATTTAGAAGATTTTTTATTTAAACTTATCTGTTCAAATCGTCTATTATTACTATAAAAATAAAAAAAGTATAACTAATAAATGCAACAAAAATAAATATGTGACTCTGACTTTGTATTCTGCTTTCTCGTTCTATTTTTGCCTCTTCCATATTGAAGTCAATCGAAAAGTTTGGTACTTTTGATCTGTAAGAAAATGATAAATAATAAATATCGAATATTTTCTTCAAAGAACCCACTTACTGTATTCAGAGCAAGTAGATAATTCTGATTCTCTCTTTCTCTTTCTCTCCTATGTAAGTGTGCGGTCATTGTCAGATGCAACATTTTCAGAATATGAACTTATTGCGGATAAAGATCTTATGTTTACTTCTTATGTAAGACAAATTTCGAAAGAAAAAATAAGCATTTAGAAGTTCTCATTAAAACTTATAGAATATTTAATTTGTTTGAAATAACCTAGCGATCATATCTCAATAAATTATTTCACCGAAGGCATTAAGAAAAATCTTCTTTAGCCAAGACAGATATTAAAAGTGAGACCTGGGTCGATATTGGAGTCGAGAATGATTTTAGACGTGAACTAAAATTGTTACTGAGGTCGACACCACATCCGAACCTCGATCTTCGACCAGGAACAAAGCCATAGACACGAAATGCTTCCAGAAGTAACATTAAAAAAAGCTTTGTTTTACTAGGATCAACGGTATTAAGCAGCATACTATAGCTTGCGAAGCCTTCATATTTTATCTATCGTGTACAACGACGGGAAAAAAAAACAAATAAAGCCGTGGCATAATGTACACTTTTTCCAATCTTTGATTAACTCTGTATGCATCAATTAAGCTGCTCAATCAATGAATGATAGAACAAACAAAACGATGAAAATATTTCATGGAAAAAAAAACAGTGTCTGAATAGTATATGATTATGCATTATTTGATGTACATGGATGAATGTACGCAAGCCAAAAGTTTTTGCCTATGCATATAAGCAACATAATGCTTTCGTTTTCTTCATTAAACAAAGTCGATACATTATCCAGGTATTCTGCTCATCATCACAAAGTATATCACATCATTATAGGAAGCAAACGTAAGTCTTTGAAGTAGCAGTTTCTTTCTAAGGCCTTTTAATCATCAGTATTTAGAGAATTTTTCCGTTCTTAATTAGCATCACCAACTATGTACAGTATTATTTTCATATGATAGTAATTATTTTCGTGGCGACGAAAATGTTCCGAGATTCTGTGGAAAACCAATAGAAGATATTAGTTGTAACAACGTCTTGTATTATTCTACCCTTCGAAAACATTTGACCTCACTGAAAATTAGGTATGATGCTGCGCAGAAAACATGTGCTTCAGAAAATTTTCATGAAAGGAATTCTCTTCAACTAGGTTTTTGACGATAGGGTGTGGGGTAGACCCCGTCGGGTAGGACCCGGACCCGGATCCTACCCGGACCCGCACGGGTCCGGGTCCGGGTCCGGGTCCAAAAATTTTACTTTGGCCGGGTCCGGGTCCAAAAATTTTATTTTGACCGGGTCCGGGTCCGGGTCTGAAAATTTTGCTTTAACCGGATCCAGGCCTGAAGAAAACTTTGATCCATACAATTTATTTTGAATTTTTTTAAAGTTTTGTTCGTTTTATACAAAGAAGAGATCAAATGTATTTAGAAAACAGATAAAAAACAACAAAACCCTTCTTGACTATACTATCTAAACTGACTTGTCATTGTGTTTGGATCCAAAAAATTTAAGCGACCGGGTCCGGGTCCGGGTCCAGCAACCTGTAAACGGGTCCGGGTCCGGATCCGGGTAGAAAAATTTTAAATGATCGGGTCCGGGTCCGGGTCCAAAATCCTGGGCCAGGGTCCGGGTCCAAAAATTCTGGACCCGACGGGCTCTAGTGTGGGGTATGGGTGTTTACGCTAACAACCACACCCAAGTTGATTGATTACAAGAATCTGTCTTAACCTTGAAAAAAAAATAATACAAGCGTCTTAATTTATATATAGTATTCCTCTTTTGACTGCAGTATTAATTCAAGAAGTACATCAGTTATATTATGGAAAACACAATTCTGGTCACACATGCACTCCTAAAAGCAACAATCATCAACTAAAGCATTACATTTTTGTTAGCTCTTTGTTTATTGCTTGCTTCACACATGAAATAAGTGTCTTTAGTCGATGTAAATTATGCTTCATGTGTAAAAACTTTATTATTTACTAATGATAGAAATTAAAAGACGATTGGTTTTTCAATGAATTGCGTGACAAGAGAAAAGATTAGCTACTCTTTCAATTTAACAGGACTTTTATATTTGCATGTAATCCTAAGGTTTAGCTGCTGTTATCATTGCCATCATTTATTATAAGTAGCAAATGGCAAATCCTGATTCAGTACCAGATGATGATAAAGTGCATTTAATAAGTTCTTATATAAGACAGACTTTCTATTTCAGAAAAAGAAAAACTAACTGTAAATACGTTCACCTTGAATGAAAGATGATAAAAATACTAATGATTTGTTCAGTTCACAAGTCTTGCAATTGAGAACTTGAATAGAGTAATAATCATTTTAAATGAATTTCAAGACTCGATCGCAAACAAAGGATATTGTGGTATTCGATAGTTTGGATTCTTTTTTTTGGTAAAACCAAGAATTTCTTCAATCTGTTTTTGTTTTGTTTATTTTTTTATTGTTTCACATTTTGACCGATGCATTTGATATTATTTCTATTTGATATTTGACATTCTTCTCGTAAAAATCTTCAATATTTGTTCAGTTAATGCATGTTAAACACAATACCATCAACAGTTTTATGTACACTTCTAAAAATCAATTTTCTTTTCATTCACAAGATTGCTATCGTGTTGAATTTGATAGAAATCATTGTTCGAGGTGTGCCTATAGGTAATCTAAAACTGCTCCGCGACTATTAATACGAGTCTTAAAATGTATACATGCTCATGTCAATCTTCGTGGAAATGGCAGTGTCGCTAGAGAAATATCTTCAATACGAAGAGAGTTGCCAATAATGTAAATATCAAACAAATACTATTTTATTCTTTTTCGAGTATTTTATAAGGAACTCATTTGAATTTATTTCTATAGATAAAAAAAAATATATATATATGTAGATGTCACTGATGATAAAGGCTTATATTATTGGAAGCCAACAATACCGTCTAGTCTCACTAAATCAAGCATCACTTTGTCTATTCTTTGTAGCTGTGTTTGCGAGTGAGAAGCATCACGTGGATATACACCAAAGTAGTGATATTTATTTTTTTGTCTTTAGTAATAAACTTTTACTATTTAGAAAAATGAGTAGCCCATGTTGTGTTGATCCTGGTGCAAAACAAACGCACGAGGCACAAGGCCATGAAGAACAGATAGCAGGAGTGAATACTTACAAAACAGGTCAAGGCAAATCAGCTATCGTGATTTTTACTGACGTATTTGGTTATTCTTTTATTAATGTACGCAAAGTAGCCGATAGTTTTGCTCAAGGTGCTGAAACAACAGTTTTAATTCCTGATTATTTTAATGGTGATCCAATGGATCCAGATCATCCTAATTTATGGGATGCATTACCTGGTTGGTTACAGAAACATCCTCCAACGGATGCATGTGCTGTTGCTGAAAAATTTATTACGACTATCAAAGGAAATTATGAATCGATTCAAGTTAGTTGAAGTTTATTTATTAATTGAAAGATCTATTTTTTTGTCCTATTCTAGGTAATTGGTTTTTGTTATGGTGCTAAAGTAGTTGTTCATTTAATAACGCATCCCGAATTTTCGTCTACAGTGAAAGCGTCAGTTGTAGCACATCCATCATTTCTAGTAAAAGAAGAAGCTAAACAAATCAAACGACCTATTTTATTTTTATGTGCTGAAAATGATTCTCTTTTTACTCCGGAACTTCGACAAGAATTTGAAAATGAATTAAAATCAAATGGTCTCGGAACATTTCTTGAATATCCCGGAACAGTTCATGGATTCGTTATTCGACCAGATGGTTCTGAACAAGCTAGTCAACAAAAAGATAAAGCTGTTCAAGATGCTATTGGCTATTTCAAAAAGAATCTTTAATCTTTTGCAAATTTTCATATCTACTATGATTTATATGACGTAGAACTTGTTTTTTCACAAGAATTGAATAAAATTTTCATATAATCATTTTTTTTACGGTTAGTTTTCATTTGAAGCCTTAAATTTTTGTATTGTTTATAATTTGAATTATGTAATCTTGGGATGGAAATATTATTTTTAGTGCCAACAAGTTTGTTACTGGCGAGTAGTTCTATAAATTTTCATACTGGAAATTTTTCTCAATAATAAAACAATATTTGTGTATTATTCTTGGGATTTGCTATTTTGAAAGAGTATGAAGACTTTTTGAACATATAACTATCATTGCTAATATCAAAACACTGCTGTTCTCCTATTGAGAAGCTTTAAGGTTCAAGTAAGAGAGATATATTATCAACTGATCGTGCTATTAGAATTAAAAAGCAAATTCCTACTTATAGTTCATGTATTTATAGAAAAACTAATTTGAATTGTATCAAGTAGGAATATGTGGCAACAAATTTGAACACCCATGGCAACGTTACATCATGTAGTCAGTTATGATAGTAATTGAAGATGCCTAGTTAATATTGAGAAATTTCAGTTATAGAATTCAAATAAAAAATGATTATGTTTTAATTCGATAGATTAAAAACAATATGAACAAAATGTAAAAAGATAGTGGTTATTGCTCGGCAACTATTTCGATTATGATTCATAGTGTCATTCTTATATAAATCAGTATAGAATTATTTCAGACAGTTTTTTCATTTTATATTAATTTTTCTGATTCAACTGTAAAAAATGTTTTTTTTTAACTTATACTGACCAAGTGAAGAATTAAACAGGAAAGAAAAACAAAAGATTTTCTTACTAAAATGTTGCTCTAATAGATTTGTTTGGTTTTAGTCTGTAATTTATCTAAAAAAAAAAGAATAATCTTTAAATAAAGAAATCAATCTGTGGAACTTCGTAAGAAAATAAACTTAAAACAATCGTTCGAAATCATATTCAACATGGATGAACAATCCTTTATTGTAAAATGCAATCAAAATATTATTATTTTTTTGAACAATTTATTTCTCAATTAATGAATATACATATACGTTCAAAACTTTATACAAATATTTTAAAGACCTTTTTTTTTTAAATATGGATTCACAATTGAAATTCTTCCGTGTTATCCTTAAAAATGAAAAATCTCTTTTGTTGATTCTCCAAAGTTCATTTTATAGAATAAAGAATAACTAATCAACTAGGGCAGCAATCGTTTCTTTAATTCATTTGTTGAACACTTGAAATAGATTTCTACTTAACTGATTAAAAAAAAGAAAGTCTTTCAATAGAAATTTAAAACATAGATTGATTGAATAATATCTATTTTTAAAATTGAAAATTTTTGTGTTCTCTCATAGATTATGTGTGAATTCTTCTTCTTGCTTCCTTTCTGTAAATGATGTGACGATCACTAATTGTTTCATCACAGTATGATGGATTCAAAATGTCGTGCTATTTCTTTTCATTCGTCATTCTATGAGAGATCGACCAGAGCATACTCAAATCATTGGCTTTGTACAAGAAGAAGTCTCGCCGTATGCGTTTCTTTCAGAAGTAGAGCTGAAACCATTTCAATTCGACATACTCAGGAGTTAAGAGGCCCTTCCATTTCTTTTGTAATCCCTTATTATGAAAGATGTGTTATATTTCACAGAAGATTTCTCTGTCTCAATTGATTTGATTCAAATTTTCTAGTTTCGATGAAAGGGTGTGAGTGTGGACATAGACATGCTTGGACAGAAAAGTAGTACCTACACCCCGAAAATCATTGATCTGAAAATGTGAGTTCACAAAGCAATTATCGACTTTTTTCTTGGAATATGCCGTTCTTCTTTAAGAACAATACAATCGATGTTTACTTGGTTCTATTGAGCCATCAATATTGGCGCATTGTCATGCATCATTAGCACCAATATTAAAAAGAATTGTACTTCCTGGCTCGCTTATCTTATACCTATGATCATGTTCACTGATGGTTCGCACGTGTCGCATGACAATCACGGCCATTCGAATGCTATGGAGACTGGGCAAAAAACACAATAAGCAACATATTTTAGATTATGCGAAAGAATCCCTATTGTCGATCGATTATGGTGTTAAAGAAACGGTGACAGAATCGGACCAGAATCGCTTTATCGATGATCTGAAGTCAGCATGAAGTGCTTGTCGTGTTTTTGCATTTTTCCATTTTACTGGATCTGTTCCATTCAAGTATATGACAATCGTATGTCGCAAGCCGCACAAATGAATGCCGGTAAGTTTGCAGTTTCTTTTGGAATCCTCGAAAAAATTGGTAAATATTTGATGTCCGATACTTTAGAAATTTTCTAATTAATCTATCCTATTTTGCAACGATTTAATATCAACTTTAGTCCAATCCGTCGTATCACTTATGGTTTCTTTTTTGCATCTGTCAGCATTCGTTCAACATATGATCTATTCGATTGGTTCCAACTACGTCTACACGACAAAGTCATGTTTCACATGTCAAAAATTCAACAATATCACTGTAGCTTGGCAAATTCCTTCGTCTACTTTGATGACCATCGCTGAAATCCTTGCGTCGATTACTGAACTCGAGTACGCATTCACTCATGCCCCAGCATCAATGAAATCCATCGTGGTATCACTTTTCCTCTTCACAATTAGAATCAGTACTACTCTGAATTTTGCACTTCTACCAGCGAGGGTGTGGGTGTGAGTGTGGGTGGGTGCGGGTGTGGGTGTGAGTGTGGGTGGGTGTGGGTGTGAATGGGGGTGGGGGTGGGGTGTGGGTGGTGTGTGGGTATGGGTGGGTGTGGGTGTGTGGCGGGTGTGGGTGTGGGTGAAAATGAATAAGAGACCTGCACCGGTTTACATGATTTACTGCCGTGAGCTTTAGTGCCGTGTAAACATTTGTTTACAAAGAGATCTTTCTTTTCATAAGAAGTTATATGATTAAGTTCGCTAAGTCTAACGATCACGATGTAATATTTTTTTGTTTCCTACGTCAAAAGTTTATTTTTCATCTCAAAAGTTTGTAAAAATACGCTGAAATCTAACTATAGTTCGTAATGAACTTTATGAAAAAAACCTATTTCATGTCAAAGGTTTATTTTGCTTGTCAAACGTTCGTGAAAATCTATTAAAATCTAATTATAGTTCGTATATTTTTTTTAGGTTTTTTCACTAATGGATTTTCATTTCTAATATTTCTCGAATGATTTGCTATTTAATATATTAAATCAAGCGATTTAGTAGATTGCTAACTTTATTAAACAGAATAGTAGTATTGTAATGTATTACTGATTTTCCTTAATGGTATGTTGTGATCATTAGCTTATCTTAACTATAAATCATATAACTTACCAATTTGGATAAATAATTGTTAATTGTGCACATGTGAGATTTTTATTTTATATTTTTAATAATTTTTATGGCTTATATTTAATTCAGCAATAAAACAATTGAAATGAGCAATAATGAAATTTAGCAATAAATTTACTGAATCAGCAATAATTATATTGAATGAGCAATAATTATATTGAATCAGCAATTATTTACCTAAATTACAGGTAAATTTTATATAAAAAGGGACACTATGGATTCATTCTGTTATGCTACATTCCAAAGATGTGCTATAAGACAGAGTTGTGTTATACTATACATTATATTTTTGGTCTCTTTCTTTCTCTACATATGTATCTACACCTTTCATGCTCTTTTTCTTTTGTCAGGTTAGCTGTACTGGTTTTTCTGAATCCGACCAAAGGAATCATTCTATCATCTCGAATATTGAATGGTTATTCGAATACAAATTTTGTAGATTAATATTTACTCTTTCAGACTATGCAATTAGAACTGTACAACAACCATTCAAAGCCGAAGGTTTTTAAACAAAAAAACGTCCGAGTCCATACATTCAGGTCTGATAGAGTCCACGTATGAACTCCAACCTTTTTATTTAAAATCCTTCAACTCTGAATGTCTTTTATACAGGTATAATCACATTGTATGAAAGTGGAAACATTGCTCGACAGATGTGTATTCGAAAAACAGTTCAGTATTGAAAAAAATAGAATAGCCCAGAATTCTCTGGTCCAGTTCAGAACATCTAGTGCAGCTCCCTACTGTCAGATACATTCCCATATTGCTTTCTCTTCAAATGTTCATTTCTTTCTTTCAAGTGATCATTCAGATATATTCTATTCGTATCATATCTATTCCTGGTATATTCTGTTATCTCATATACAGGCCTACATGTGTGTGATAACAGGGAGGATCTTATTTTTCGAAAATAGACATCATATACACAAGATCATATTACGGATTTAACACATTTATTTATAGAAATACGTAAGAAACAGAGGCAAACCACCCAGAAAAAAAAATTATTGACCCAATAATAAACTATATTTTTGATTTCTTTTTTTTTATGTTCGATTGTAACTAAAAACAATGCAGGTTTTTTTTATTTATTGCTAAAATATGAAATTATTACTGCTATTTAATGAATTAATTATTGTTCATTTAATAATATAAAATTGCTCAATAAAGCTTTTTTTATTGCTCACAAATTATTGCTAAAACATATGTTAATTATTTGATTCCAATATTTTTATTGCTGAAATAAATACTAGCCAATTTTTATTATTAACGTATAGCTATATTGATATAAAGATCAATAATCATGTTTACGAAGCGAAAGATAAGCGCGCCTTTTATGAAATTGATTCATTATTGTAAATTAGAAAAATTCATATATAAAATATTGATAAATTGAACTTTTAAATTTTACAAAAAAAATGCAATAATATATATTAAATGATGATTCAAATATTACATAATAAAGGTGAGAGAGAGAGAATTCGTCAATAATGAGGGTGTGGGTGCGTGTGGGTGTGGGTGTGAGTGTGGGTGTGGATGTGGGTGTGTTGTGTTTGTGTTGGTGCGGGTGCGGGTGCTGGTGTGGATGTGAGTATCCTTTGTCTACCAACACCCACACCCACCCACACCCACACACCCACACCCACATCCACACCCACGCCCACACCCACCCACACCCACACCCCACCCACACCCACACCCTACAAAGGATTTTTCTAGATGATACAAATTCGGTTTGTTATTCAATGCTCTTATATAAAGCATTTTTTGATTATTTTTTCTTTTGGTTCAATAAAGAATATAATTACTTTTGTGACATGTTTCATGCATTGAACTTGATTTTTAAAAAATGAACATGTTTTTTTTCTCAATACCACTAGGTGCTTTTGCACTCTTTGCTACAAAATATGATTCCATTTTCGTTACCCAGACCATCGACAAGTAATCTTCACCGAGATTTGATTTAACTAATTCTAGACTCTTAGGATAGAAATACGGATATAAATTCAACTGCATCTAAACGGGTGGTAAATAAAGTGCTAGATAAATAAAAGAAATGTCTTAACCTAGAACAATGATTCATTTCACAAGACCAGTTTCTTCATAATTTAAAACTCGATTTTGATGTTGATAAAGAACCACTCTTGTTTCATCATGCTACGTTTCTCTAATCAAGTTCAGTTTATATATGGAATGTTATTAGTTTTTCAACAGAAAATTTCGTCAATTTTTTTTAATCGTTGCAGTATTGTAACTATATTACCTTTTTTATTTAATATTGGTTATGGAATTTTACTTCTGAGTTTCAAATGACGACTAAGTACAATAAACCAAAACTTTTTAATCATATATTGATGCATATCGAATAGTTCTATGTCTATGAATGAGGGTATATGTTGGTGTGAGTATCAGTGTTCATAAAAAGAAGATAATAATCACATCCACACCTAAATTTGTAGTTTTAAGAGCATTCTTACGAGTGAGTAAGAACAAGTTTAGAAATAAAAAATAAATTGTTAACAGGGCAAGAAATAGATCACTATCTCATAAACATTTTCTTATAATTATCTAGCAGTTTGTTTGATTTCAATACAAGTAGAATGGAAAAAGAAGTCTAAAATAAATTTTTTAAAATATCAGATAAATAAGGAGATATATAATAGATAATTTCTCATTTTTGATAAAGTAGTTTAAAATGTGTTTTCAAGCGTCTTCATAAAGTCTTTTCATCAACCTACGTTTATAAATATTATTTAAGTTACGATACTATTCGTAGTACACTTATATATGATTAAAGTTTTTCAGTTTGATATAAAATTTGAAAATGTACACTTAGAAGGCACTATATTTCTGTATTGCGCATTTTTAACCTTTTTTCATTAATCGACGATGTTGTACGCATTGACTCCTAGTGTTTTTATATTTAAGTGTTCTGCATTATTTTAGTCTTATAAGATAATTGGACATGTGCTTATATTCAGCATAGCTGACACACCAATACAAGTGAATAATGACTAGACAATACTATGTGAAGGCAAAGACTGCATTTAAACTAAAGGGATGAAGGAAAATAGTGCATACTATTTCTTTTCTTTTTCTTTTCTTTCTCTCGTTCCTTGACAATTCGTTTTACAAAGATGGGCATTATGCGTTTTTGACTAGTGACAAAACTACGTTACGAAAATAAAAATGAAATCGTTTCTTTTTTGCTGAATGCGAAAACTTGTTTTTATTTTTATTTTTCTGATTCTATTGTTATTATAGATTTCTTAAAAGATAATTATCCGATTCCAATAATATCATCATGTCATCACATATTACTGATGTTGAAGGTGATTGGAAAATTGTTGATTATCCCAACCATCCTGGAAATGTTAACTGTAAAATTGAAATAAAGGGTTATGGTCTAGATCCAAATATGTTTAAACTTTATATGCACGTGGTGAATGATCTATATTGTATTTTGAAACATAATTCTACAACTAATCGATGGGAAATTTCTGATTTTTGTTCCACAGAAATAAGTGGTTCACGAGAAAACATAGAAAAAGAAGATGTATTTAGAACATTGATTTCTAATTTACGAAAATTAGAAGTTCACGATGAACAACAATTGATTATTACAACAAACGATAATGAACAAGTTCGATTAGAACGATTGTCGTAGTAGTCTCATGATTAGTGACAAAGAATAAACTTTGTTTTAATTTAGCAGACAAAGTAATAGATAATGAATATTTTGATTGTATAGCTTACTAATATTGCTTATATTTATTCAAGTAACACATTTAATCATTTTAATTATTAATTTTATTGAAATAAATAAAATATGAGTTTATTATCGTCGACAGAAAAGAATTGAAGCTATGGATATTTTGCTTTTGTTAACCAAATATGATATCGACGAATGATATGGAAAATCAGATTTAAGAAAACTTTTAAAAATTGAAAAAAATAGTTCGAATAGAAAATTATTGAAAGAAAAAGTTCTTTTTGAACGATTTCTTTTTCAGTCTAGAAGGAAGATAATCGATTATATTGTTAACAAATGATGACTTCAATACTTTTAATGTTTAAATTTGATATTAGTAATACAAATTGATCCCAATGCCATTTACAGCGTAACTATAAAATCGTAAGCCTTCTTCTAATCAGATGCGCTATGTAGTAATATTTCCAATAAATTCTTCGAGATTAGTCATCAGTGATCGACTGTCCAATCCATTGTCATAGCTGGTTGACGATGCTAAGTAAAAATAATTATGATATACACCATGTCTTGGATGCGAGACTTCTATTTCAATCTAATGCAACGACTCGTTCAACAATTCAAGTCGAGTTCGACTGATTCGTCAGCGTCCGCCACATCGCAGGAACTACAGCGCTATAGTGACAAAGGAATACGTACAAAATACGAAGGTCAAGATCTTTTTAAAATACTTCTTTTATTTAAACTCTACAACAAAAGTGACATATTGAAAATAATTTCTGAATGATAACATTTGCTGCTACGATTGGAGTATGGATGTTTGCGTCATTTCTTCGACAACACATCCATACATATCCTCAAAGCGATGCTAATATTCCATATGAATCACCTATT